TAGTTTATAGACTTTATGTCGAACCGTGACTGGGTTAGGTAGTTTACAGACTTGGTTATGTAGAACCGTGACTGGGTTAGGTTGTTTACACACTTGGTTATGTAGAACCGTGACTTGGTTAGGTAGTTTATGGACTTAGTTATGTTGAACCGTGACTGGGTTAGGTAGTTTAGAGACTTGGTTAGGTTGAACCGTGACTGGGTTATGTAGTTTACAGACTTGGTTAAGTAGAACCATGACTGTGTTAGGTAGTTTACAGACTTGCTGATGTTGAACCGTGACTGGGTTAGGTAGTTTACAGACTTGGTTATGTAAAACCGTGACTGGGTTAGGTTGTTTAGAGACTTGGTTAGGTTGAACCGTGACTGGGTTAGGTAGTTTACAGACTTGGTTATGTAGAACCGTGACTGGGTTATGTAGTTTAGAGACTTGGTTATGTAGAATCATGACTGGGTTAGGTAGTTTGGAGACTTGGTGATGTTGAACCGTGACTGGGTTAGGTAGTTTATGGACTTAGTTATGTTGAACCGTGACTGGGTTAGGTTGTTTAGAGACTTGGTTAGGTTGAACCGTGACTGGGTTAGGTAGTTTACAGACTTGCTTAGGTTGAACCATGACTGGGTTAGGTAGTTTACAGACTTAGTTATGTAGAACCTTAACTGGGTTAGGTAGTTTATAGACTTGGTTATGTAGAATCATGACTGGGTTAGGTAGTTTAGAGACTTGGTGATGTCAAAGCGTGACTGTGTTAGGTAGTTTACAGACTTGTTTATGTAGAACCGTGACTGGGTTAGGTTGTTTAGAGACTTGGTTAGGTTGAACCGTGACTGGGTTAGGTAGTTTATAGACTTTATGTAGAACCGTGACTGGGTTAGGTAGTTTAGAGAGACTTGGTGATGTTGAACCGTGACTGGGTTAGGTAGTTTATGGATTTAGTTATGTTGAACCGTGACTGGGTTAGGTTGTTTAGAGACTTGGTTAGGTTGAACCGTGACTGGGTTAGGTAGTTTACATACTTGGTTAGGTTGAACCGTGACTGGGTTATGTAGTTTACAGACTTAGTTATGTAGAACCGTGACTGGGTTAGGTAGTTTACAGATTTGATTATGTAGAACCGTGACTGGGTTAGGTAGTTTATAGACTTTATGTCGAACCGTGACTGGGTTAGGTAGTTTACAGACTTGGTTATGTAGAACCGTGACTGGGTTAGGTAGTTTATAGACTTTATGTCGAACCGTGACTAGGTTAGGTAGTTTATCAAGTTGACCTTTGGCAAAACTTGAAGTAAATTTGTATATATATATACATAAATATTTCAATTTGATTTTTTCGTATGCTTAAATATATTTATACCAGACCCGTTGAACACTGTTGAAGTGTTTACACCGCATATTCAATCACTATTTCAAAACATATCTCTATGTTTACTACGTTCATACCTATTTTCTTCATCCCTTTCATGGAGCTGTTGTGAAGAAAGAGGTCGTACTTCAAAACAAAGCAGTATACCGGAATTCCTTCCATAAAATACATGTCAAGATTAGATTTACCGCCTTATATGAAGGATACAATCGGGTTCGGCGTTCAAGAAAATTATAGATGTGAAAACCAATCCGGAAATAATTTTCCCGAAATCCAAGACTGGGTTATGTTATAGACTCTACCCATCAGGACACTTATCATTAGTTTTTATGGTGAAAAATTAAAACATAATATTTGGCACTCCCCTGCTTATTTCCTTCCTCTAAAAAGATCTTTTTTGATGACATGTGTTTTATACATTTACGGACGTATAAAGTCCAATCTTGTAAGTGTTGCTTTCTTCACCTAAAACTAGGTAAACTAAAATCAGAATATATACAAACGTGTCTAACTGCATTGACAAAGTAATGAAGTATAGATAAATAACGAATAGAAAATATGCTACAATATGAACATAAATTAGTCCAGTTAATGGACTACACAATAAAAATAGATGGAATAATTTAATATAGGTTCTAACTTGAATGTGCATTATGGGGAAATAAAAACTCGCCAATCAAATTAAAACTCTTACTGTTTAGTGTCGGGTGAAGATAATGAACAGTGACATATCTAAAAAAAAAAAAAAAAAAAGAAGAAGCAAAAATCCTTTAAATAAAAAAATGGCATATTGAGGAAAATCGGACTTCTGAAAACATCAGAAATGGGATCAGTGGTTCTTTTTCCAAAAAAATATTACGACTACCGCTCTGGAATTCCTCATTGGCGGATCCAGAGGGGGGGTTCCGGGGGTTGGAACCCCCCCCCCCTTTATTTTTTGGAGAGTGAGAGGGGATAAAACGTTTTCCGAGATTATTTACATTTGTATTTGTACGTCCCACTTATTTATTGAATACAGAGATTCTCACACATTAAGTTTCCTCCAGTCACCTTCTCTATTATACTTTTTTATGAGAGAATGGTAGAAAATATTCTACTTATTTTTATATATCTAGATCTTGTATGTAGCATGCGAAGTTTAATATGATATTGGATTCCCGCGATCTTTGGCTGTGTTGGCTATACTTGTACCGTTTTTTATCATATCTAGATCTATTGAAGGAACTAACATGTAACTCTGTTTTAAAGCCCACCCGCATCCCACCCCCAAAAAAGTTTTTCAAATTCTTAAAGAAAATTCTTTATACTCTTCGGAAATGATACAAATCCATTCAATTTTAAGGCTTCCGTAGTTTTTGAAACGTGTTTTTTTTTTTTTTTTTTTTTTTTGGTTTTGTTTTGTTTATTTTGTATTTGTTGTTTTGTTCGTACTGGGAAACGCTTTAAAAAAAAAAAAAAAAAAAAAAAAAAAAAAAGGCCATAAAACAAAGATAGTATTTAGCACAACCTTAGATATTTCCATACAAGTCTGTGAATCTTTGCTTGAGAGTAGGTATTTGGGGGGGGGAGGGGGGTAAGAGGGGAACAACCCTGGAACCCCTCCTTTCAAAAATTGCTGGATCCGCCCCTGTTCCTGTAACATCAACTTAACACGTGTGTTGACAACATTTATGTTAAATGTCAATGAGGAACCCCCAGCATCCTTTTAATATCAAACTTTAGAGTACTATTAATCACAAGCGATAACTTTTTTTCGATTAATTACGCGATACGGTATGTTCGCAAAAATACTATTCTAGTATTGAGTTGGATAAAGAAACCACCTCTCTTTTTTGACATCATTTTAATTGTTTGGGCACTCAAAATAAAATTAAGATGAAATTTCATAGAATTTAGAGAATAAGGTAACAATAATGTTATACCGCATGCTTGAATTTATATATTTGAATGCTCATAACTTACGATTTTTTTCTCGGATATGGCATGTAGAAAAAAACGTTATGTTTGATGTTGCGCCACCAGGACAATATTGTATACATTGAATACATTTGAAAAAATATTATTAAATATAGATAAAATTTTATGAGGTGACGCTAACTTAATGATCGATGTACCTCAAATAGGTTTAAATTTTATGACACTAGACCACGAACTTTATATATTGATAAACAATCGCATTATTTATAAATCTAGCTGCTATCAGATATCGATACAAAATGCTTAGGTAAAGATTATATTTTCAGCCTGAGTTTTTAAATATAAATAGATTGTCTTTTTTGTCTATGTGTGATTAACTTGTAAGAAACAAAAATAACTCATTACATCATTTCTTTATTTAAGTAAAAGAATTGATGGTGAAAACGAAAGTAGTAACACTTAATATTCAATATAAATAATAAATAATAGATTATTCAGAACATTCACAATCTGGAAAATAATGCCATAAATAATAAATATATATAAGATTCAACGGTACTTTCTTTTTATTAAGGATTTTTGTAAACAGTTCCATTTTCAAGAACTGTACGTCTGTATTCTCTGTATGCAGTAAAAATGTACTGTCACTTTCTGTTTATTTTCTTATAAATATTGCGTAACTATTGCAACGATAACTGTACTGAGGATAAGAGAAGGAAGAGGTAGGAATTATATAGCAAGTATAACAAGTTATACATTAAAATAGAAACTTTTCTCTTAGATCAATTATTTTCATATTTACTCCATGCACTTTAACATGTTTAAATCATATCTATTCCATATTCTTAAAGTCAAATATGGCGTTTTAGTATTTTGTATAAGATCAGACTAACTTAAATAAAAAAAATCTTACTATTTATTTTATTAATTCATATAAAGATAGAGCTTTTCCTGTGAAAAACACAATTTAAATCAGTCGCGTTTCATAAATATAAGAAATTTCAAACAATGGCCCATTCATTCAAATTTGACAGTAAATAATGAAATATATGGAGATAATGAACAATATTCAAGCTCATAAGTCTATAAAACAATATTAATACGAAATAGGAGCAAAGCAAACACGGACATCAAAAACATCAGAGGTGGGATCAAGTGGTTGCAAACCGGGTACACCCGCCGTGTGCTCCTTGTCATGTTCGGGAAATAAATCCTTCGTCATTTCAGTGTGTAAATAACGGAAAGATTAGTATGAAAAACATCAGTCAACATTTTACTCGATAATAAATTATAAATAACAAACATCACGATCATTAAAACTCAATTCGTATTCTTATTTCTTAGCTAAGATACGCCATGTATAGCTTTAAATTCAATAATGCTATCATTTTGGTATTGGATTCCAATGTTTACAGTTGATAAATTTATTTATGAATATGATTTAATGATATTATTAATTTCAATTTGAATTCTCGAATATCAAAAAAGAGAAAACAAAATATAGTATTCGTGTAGATTCAAATGTGTTCAAATCATTCCCCGGGTTGTAAAGCTGGGCCATAAAGGACAATCAAATTTTTACATATGAATATCTAGAAAACACTTCATCTCAAGAACAGCAAGGTCATGATTGATCTCTTTTTATATGTAAGTATCCCCAGGTAGTGAAGATTCAAGTTTATTCAAAGCATGGTCGAGATTCATTTTTTAAAATAATTCTCAGGAATAGCAAAGCCATGGTTGATATTACTAGTATTTGTATGGAAACATCCTCAGGTAGTGTAGATTTTGATTTGTTAGAATTATTACGGGGGCCGGGGGAGGGACTGGATTTGTTCAAATTATATTCCCCTGGCTTCCTTTTAAAGGTAGGTTGGGACCACTTTTAGAAATAACTTTTCAATGGTGAACTTATTTCTGTTTTTAGCCACAGTACTCAGGTGGGCAATATGGTCCACAAGCCTCTTATTATATCATGTATATATTGAATGCAAGGGTTTTGCCTGGAACGTCCAAATGAAGTTGAATTTCGATAGAATAATTAGTTCTAGTTTTGCATGCTCAAAGTGTACATGTATTTTGTTTTTATTTTGTTTAAAGGCGTAAAAGAATGAATGTATAAAGCATGCTTTATATATTGAATGATTTGTTTTAAAATTGAAAGCATGTAAGACGTTCATGGACATTTTTTGTCAGATCAAAATGGAAAACACATGCAACAACTGTGGAATTCAAAGAGAGGGAATGCAGAAGTGTGGACGATGCCACTTGACGTACTACTGCAGTAAAGAGTGCCAGAAAAGGGACTGGAAAACGAACCACAAAACACAGTGTGATGACCTGAAGAATGCTAGAGATACGGAGATAAACGATAGAAAGGGTAATTCCTCTTCTAGTGGATTTCTTAAACAGTCATTGAGAGATTCGACTGATCTTCCTTCGAGTGCATTGTGTATGTTTTGTGGAACTAGTTCAGGACAACTCAAGAAATGCGGACGTTGCCTGACTGTCAGCTATTGCTCGAAATCATGTCAAACGCAAGACTGGCCCGACCATAAAACCGTTTGCAAAAATAAGGACATTGTTGACGTTATACAGACCGATGGGTACAAGGAACAGTTGAAGAAATCAAAATCAGACAGAATTCTTTCGCAAGCGACCCAGGGCCGTAATAGTTTTACTGCTTTTGATAATGGAGACCAAGTGATGTTTGGACCCTCAACAATGTTCAGAACGGATTCCGCCGATCTTTCTCTGCGAAAGTCAACAACAAAAGACCTTAGAAGACAGGCAAAGATATACGTTGAACGAAAGTTTCCCATGCAGTACATTATTGACGATATTGAAGAAATACCCCATGAGCTTCCTTTGAGTTTTGGTAATGCAAGAGTGTCCTTCGTGGGGTTTATTTCCAGATACCACCACTATAGAGGGCGCCACTGTGTGTATATACAGGTAAGTACGATAACTCTATTGAAATTATGCAGAAGAAAAATGAAGAAGAAAATGTTATTAAAATTTCTTAAATTTAAAACCAAATCAGGATGGCAAATAAATTCAATGCCATACTTAAATTAATTATTCATATTTTAGGATGGAAATAATACTGAGATATACGTCGGATTTTACCTTGATTACGATAATCCCTATCCGTATTTTACCTGGGGAGATGTTCGCCCTGGCAAGTTCATCTGTCTCCACAATCCCAGAATTCACTTCTTTCTGGATGGATCTGTCGGTATCCGCGTTAATGAAAGCAGCGAGGCCTTCTTTTTCGACGTCTGAATTCCTTGACTCTTTGATTAGGCTTAATACTTCATTTTAAAAATACATAACTGAATGTACTCTTTCATGTCTGGTTGTGACGTTTTCTTTAAAACATGTTTGTTAAAGTAATTAATGTTTTTGATTCTGATGCTATTATTTAACAGTCTTTATTGATTACATGTATGCAAAACATCCAGGAATAAAATTGAAAAACAAATACGTGATTCATTTTATTGCACTTAACTGATATTGGTACGATAAACTTCACCTGAGATCATAGGAGTTATCTATATTTTTCATTCGACAAGATATGTAAAAAATTACATATACTAGTGATTTGATATGTGATTTGAAAAGAACGTTTAGGTTCTTTCTTAAATATGTTGTGTTTGATTACAATTTTGAATAAACATCTGATAGAAACTTTTCATTTTCAAATTGGTGTGATATTTATTAAACTTTCATTATTTGTTAGACATATGTATATGTTTTACATAATATTGATATAAAGAGAAAAGTCATTTATACGTGTAGTGTACTTTTTGAATCCTTCAAGGTTCTCAATTTGATTTGTTGAATTTTTGAGTGTAGAGTGTAAGCTAAATCCACTATATAAGATACACTACATTCAAATTACAGAATCATAATAGAAACTTTTATGCCTCCTATTTTTCCAAATGTTATGAAAAAAGACAAATGTATATTGAATTTGTATTTTATCTATCAAAATAAAAGTTTTGATCAATTAACAAAAATTGAAGTTAATAAAAGAATCAAAGGTTTCCAACAAAAATATATGGACAATTGTTCTTATACACATATAAAATATTTCCTCCATGCATGTATAATAATAACAGAACACAAACTCTATATTAACTATTGTTACACCCCCTACTAAATAGTCCCTATATAATTTCTTACTTAAAAAAGTCAAACAGTTTGACTGTTTTCCCCGACAGCCTGTGTAACGACGAAAAATGACCCCCGTAGAATATTGACCAAGGGGTTATTTTTCTACGTAGAATATTGACCAGGGAGTTAATTTTCTACGTAGAATATTGACCAGGGGGTTAATTTTCTACGTAGAATATTGACCAGGGTCGGTATTCTACGACAATTTTTCGACCATAGGAGAACAATCATGACTAGCAATTCTACGACTTCACACACGTTGAAAAATGACCCCCATAGAATTTTGACCCGCTACTGTTTATACAAAAAAACTTTATATTTTTGTCCCCTGATATTTTTTTTTACTTTCAAATGTAACATGTGTAAGGAGGGTAACTTTTTTATGTATACTTTACTCCTTTAAGTTTTAAACATAAATTAAGTATGCATATTATACAGAGCACTACATTTACTTATTTCTTACAGAAATCTTCAGTCTACAACAATTCTTTTGGTGTAAAAGACCATTAATGACATTTATTTTTAATTTTACGACAAGTAATGTTCGTGTTGCTTCTGTACCATGCAAATGAAACTGGAATATTCATGAATGCATTAACAAAGTTATGAAACATACTGCAATAAAAGCGTTAAACAAAAGGATTGATTCCAGGTACAATAAAGATAACATATATTACCCAATATCCCGTGGATATGACTCATTGGATATTCTTTTGATATCCTAAATCACAGTTAAGTGCACTTGTGACGTCACAATGGCTACTGCGTTAGCGCGATGAAGTAAAATAAATTGATGTCCTATTTAAAACAGTATAAAACATTGGGTGTGAATTAAACATGGGATAAAAAGAATCTCTCATGATTTTTAGTTAGATACGTCACTTTTCTCCGACTCGTTATGTGTTAAAAAAATCCACACACCTCATTGGATAATTTAAACGAGGATTTAAAAGCATAATAATTTTAACAAAATAAGTTTGCAGTTGACAAGAAATGTATAGTAAATAAACCAATTTTATATTTATTGGAAAACAGCCTTTACTAATGATGTCAAAACGGCTGTTCCTCAATTTATCGTGGATAAATTTTGAAAAATCCTACGTTTTGATGGTGTTGACTTTGGAAAAAAAAATGGTGTTTGCAAACATTCTTAATGTTCCATGGAGTTTTTACATGTACGTATCCACGTTTGATCAAAGCCACTTCTATAATATCAAGAATTATACTCCTAAAGATTCTCTTCACTCAAAGCAGTTATTCTTTTCGTGAGAAGTAAAGAAGGATCCTTGGTACATTTATTAAAACCCGCTATATACTAGTTTATTAGTTTTTGAGGAGTTCACTAGGAAGTGAAAGACAACAATACTACACTCAACCCCTTTCCTTCAAACATTGAACGACTTCAGCCAAGTTTCCTTCCAGAATTTTATTTCTTTTCTTTCTCATTACCTCAGATAATGAAATAAAGAGGAGATACTATCTCTCATAAGTTAATTTATTCTAGTCGTTATAAAAAATGGAATTGATTTAAATGAAGTTAATTCGTTACCAATTTTTGTACTACGTTTTTTTTTTTTTTTTGATTTGAACATATTTTATTATGTAAAATACATAATTGGATTGGGCAGCAGGCATAGCCTATATAAGCCCCCTCCATAGGTACAAGGTTAATTAATACACATATAGTATTAGTAACAGGTTTATATATGACCAATAAGTTATATATTACTGACACAAATTTAAATAGAACATAGAGGAAAGAAAGATACATGAGTAAAGATAGAAAAAGAAAAAAAAACAATAAATGAATACCGGTTTATAAATGTGGAAATGAATTGAAAAAAAAATCGAAAAAATGAGAACTACAGCAATTTATAAACATACAATGAATGTGTATTTAATTTAAGACATAAACTGGAATAAGTATTACATAGTTACACTTCATTTATGAAACCTTTTGGTTTGTGATATATATTTGTGAACACAATCAAATAATTTCATATTTTTTGCATATGAAATACTACTATCACCAAATAATAAAAGATTTAGGGAAATAGGAATAGGATTTTGCAGGTCTATACTAGATATACAGTTAAAAAGAGTGTTTCTTTGCTCAACATAACATGGACATTCAAAGAAAAAATGATATGCATTTTCTATATGAAAATTCCAATTTTCACATTTTGAGCTATCACTTATATAATCTTTCAGTAAATCAGCATTTAAACTACTAGCATTATTTCTTAGCTGACAATGAATGATATTTTGACTACGATTTCCATGATTAAAAAGTTTATTGGGTGTTCTATAATGAGTCTTTTTAATAGCATTAATGAAAGAAGATAGTGTTGGTAAACTCCTAATATGGTACGGTAAACTATTCCATAATTTAATTGTAGATGGGAAATAACTATTCATACGAGGGTTGTTAGAAAAGTTCGCGGACACATTGAATTACGGAATATCTTTTGTGTACTGTGAAGTATGACCTATGTCTGAATAAATTCCTATATTTTGTTTATTGGTATGAAAAAAATCAGGTCCATATAATAAAATCTTGAATATTTACAACGATTTTTACTATGAGGTCATGGGATTCATGGAGCAATCACTTGACGTAAGGCGACGTGACAACCAGATTTCAACCGGTTAAACTTTGTCGCAGCTCTATAAATCTTTCATTTCTTCAGATTTTTCTTATCTTTTTTCTACTTTAAAATTGAATATCTATATCAAGACATGTTATTTTTCTTCTATATAATGTCTTTTGTACTGATTCGGATATTATTGAGATCTTAAAAAAAGTCCATGCAGTTAATCGATCAGGTATGGAAACTGTGCAAAACCATATAGGCGCAACGCAACGTCCTTGCGATACGGGGGTATTGAAGTATCGATGAGTTAATCATTCAAAATGTTAATCCTTCCATTTTTATGAAGCTACAACCATTTGAAAACTTGTCCTTTGTAGGTGTAAGAAATTCCCGAAAGCATCTTGAACATTTTAATCTCTTTTTAGACATTTTCCAGTCTGCATACATAATTTTTACGTAGTGCAGTGCTCCATGACGCTCAGTGACGTTCCGATTTTTGGCTGTGTTTTTAGGCGTTGATCAGTTATAAACGGCTATAAAACAGTCATATACGCTCCAATTTAGTTCAAAATTTCTCCCAGTGACGTTTCATGAATACTTTAGCGGCAGGTAAAATATCATAAAACTCTTTGCGGTACAATTGTGCAATTTTAAATTTTAATAAAGAGTCTTTGTGATGTAAACGTGCCCAAATGTAGCATGCTCCGTGAAGCAATTTTTATCAAAATAAAAAAGCTGTATATTTTTCAGTAATCATCGGGGAGCACCAAATTCTTGTATATTTATTAGAAAAAAGGTAAAGATTTTATCTGGAAAGTTTGACCGATTTCGTGGAAATAGCGCGCTCACAATAGAACTTGTCCGCGAACTTTTCTAACACCCCTCGTATATGATGTGGTCCTCGTCTGAGGAATAAGAAAAGTAAGACCGTCATTGTTTCTTAATGAATATGAGGTTTGGGGTGGAATACAAGGTCTTAGAAGATCTTGAAGGTACTGTGGTGCTAACCCATACACAATTTTGTAAAATAATATTAATTTATGTACTTTCCTTCTGTCAGATAATGTATTCCAACCCAATTCATCATATAAAAGTGATCTTGATGAGTTCACTCTCATTCCTGTATTAATTCTTGCAGCAGTAATTTGAACTTCTTCCAATAAAGATGACTCCTTTTCATTACAATTATCCCAAACAACATCACCATATTCTAAAACTGGTCTAATAAATGACATATATATTTTTATTAGCGCGTCTCGACAAAGGGAATGTTTTAACATTCGTAGAACATTTAACCGTTTACATGCTTTTTCATAAGTAATTTGTATGTGAGATTTCCAATTTGCATCACCCTGAAAATTTAGTCCCAAATGTGTGTGATTGTCCGATGGCTCAATTAAGGGGCCATTTAAACCAAATTTAACATTGGGATGAGAAAAATGTTTTCTGGAAAAATTTACATTCACTGTTTTCTTGGGGTTAAAATCAACTTTCCATTGTTTTGACCACTGATCCAACTTTTCTAAATCATTTGTTAACTACGTTTTAATACATTTCAACTGTTAAAACATTCTTTTGAAATCGTTATAACGAACGCATTATTAACTATAACAGATTAAATTCTTTATTATCAATTTTTAAAAATGAAATAATGAATTCATAGTGTTAAAACACATTTTACAATTCAACTTAATATCAAATTCAAAAAATATTATAAACAGGACCTAATTAAGCAGGCTTTATTTTGGCTTCCATGTTAAATGATCCTATCGATATCAGATAAATTCTAGATTAATGTATGCAAGTACATGTATAAAACGAAAGTGATATTAATTGAAAGAAAAAAGCTCATATCATTTGGAAAATATGCTTGCATTTATGTTTAAAAAATCTAAATAGATGAGAATACTAAATAATGTTATTTTATATGCTATCAGTTCTGCAATTAAAATGTAGTAAAATTTCACGTTTGTGAAAGGCATCTTTCAGGAATTGATTTTTGTTTCTGTCGACTGATTTTGTAATCGAATTCGCGGAACAAACACATCAGCTAATACTCCATTTCTTTGTTTGGGTAAAAGAAATCAAGTTGAAAGTAAAACTAGAATAAAGAATACAGATAAACTATTTCAGTATCTTTGCTATAATTTTAAAATTAACCTTTGTACAAAGCCAGCTAGTTTTTTTTTTTGTTATGAAGGATTTCGTGAAATAGTTTATATTATGCATTTTGTCTTATTTGAATAGATGTACATACTTTCATTTTCTGTTTGTTTTCCTATTAATATTGCATAACACCTCACAGTTCAGACTTTACTGTTAACATAAAGACAGAAGGAAAAGGTATACGGATTTATTTAGCAATTAATATTTATGCATTGGAGTTACTTTCTTATCTACATTTATATTGAATCCATGTGAGTTTTTCAATTGTAAACCAATAATTTAAAGTTGACAATACGTAAATGCAAGAATGTATAATGTTATTGTGTCATACACCTGTAAAATACCGATGCACACAATAGTTTAAAATAATGTATTTGGAATTTCAAACTGTTTTCGAGCACACAAAAGGTTAAAACAGGCAAATATACCGATCCATATTCATTCTAGATTATGAGAATATTATAGTAAAAATTTAGTTTTACACAACCACATGTACTATCATTACTCTGATGAATTGTGAATTTATAACTTTTTTTCATAAAAAAACTGAAAATATTAATAACTTGACGTTAATGAAATATAGATATTACTACGTGGTAAAATCATCCTCAAAATGAGTGATATATCTTTTATATAAAATTAAACTATGGTAAGATTGATTGATTGATTGATTGATTGATTGATTGATTGTATACTGTTTAACGTCCCTCTCCAGAATATTTCACTGATATGGAGACGTCACCATTGCCGGTGAAGGGCTGCAAATTTAGGCCTACGCTCGGCACTTACGGCCTTTGAGCAGGGAGGGATCTTTATCGTGCCACACCTGCCGTGACACGGGGCCTCGGTTTATACGGTCTCATCCGAAGGACCGCCCCATTAAGTAGTTTTTTATGACAAGCAAGGGGGTACTGAGGACCTATTCTAACCCGGATCCCCACGGGATAATGATGGTAAGAGGAATCCTAGTAAAGTTACATAAATGGAGTTTAGTCATTCTTGTTAAGGGAAATTAAACTTAAGATGAGAGTTACGTCTACCTGATCAATATATAAGGTTCACGGCGGGTGTGGTCGGTCTCCACGGGAAGTCTCAGTTAGATTGTACACAATTGTCAAATCAACCTGACTTAATGAGTGTACAATAGATGTCATTAAATTGTTCAAACGGAAAGTACACATTTGGCAAAATATCCTTTCAAAAATATTGGATGACTTATATGACAAGAAAAAAATACCTTTACCATGTGATTACTCGTATCTCTGGTGTCATGGTCAGGGCAGCACAAAGGGATAATTATGACAAAATAAAAAAAAAACCACACCGCTTTTATATGCACTCTACAAATACTAAATACTGCAGGAAAAATCAAAATTTGTCGACTTCAAGTATAATAATGATTCTTTATTTGAAATTAATGTCTTGTAAATTATATATGCAATTCATAACTTAATATTGTCTCAGATATGTGATTCCTTAGAAAATAATCTTGACAAAGCTCTACAAAAACATATTTATTAGAGCGTACAAGGATCAGATTACCTGATCCCACCTCTGGAGTTTCCAGGGTTTATGTATATGGCCTTCTCACAGATTTGTGTTATTAAATGATTACTGGAGATTGATCACTGTTCTTTAACTAAATCACTTTTTTCATTATCAGTTTTTATTCTTGCTTTGGTTTGCATTGGATAAAGCAAGGTCCTGAAGACGTTAGACCAACACAGACGTTCGACATGGTAAATCTTATGAAAATATTCATCGCTGCCTTACCGATTCTACTTGTATTCATGCCAATCAAGTTTTTACTCAGCGCACCTGCTGAGATGCTTGCTGAAGGGATAAAGTACATGTATTGTCTGTATGTGTTCGGACAAATTGTCGCCATGGTCATAACACTGTGTGTTTTGGTCTGCTTTTTACTGACTTTTACGAAAATGCTCCAGGTCAGCTGTTAGCTAATTTCTATCTTTTGATGTGAAATAATAAAAGAAATGTAGTTAAATAATGACAACACAATTATGCATGCAAAATAAGGATTATATATATATATATATATATATATATATATATATATATATATATATATATATATATATATATATATATATATATATATATATAAAGCACTAAAAAACCAACAACACTGTATATCCTAAATGTCGGATCTACCAAGTATATATATATATATTGTATATAGCTCCAATATTAAGATTTATTGAACAATTGCATCATTTACGTACGTCAGATATATAAGGATCAAAATAAATTCGTAAGTACACTTTTGTTCTCTCCAGATATATCAAACATATTTTTTAAAAATGTTTGCCTATTTTAGCATGAAGAGCAAGGATTCAAGTCTAAGGCAACTCAACTACAATCGAGAGTCAGCAATTTTGCCCCAGTGAGTGAGCCCTTAAACACGATCTAAAGACTGAAATATATATGATTATTTCCTATCTAGCTTGGAGCACGAGCTTTGATTGGTTACAAAGTCGGGTGTAAATATCCGTGCTCCCAACTTGAGCCGGGTGTAAATAAAACGTGACGTCACAATGCATACATTCTCTATGATAAAAACCAAATATCATGACGTCACGATGCATACATACAGCTCAACAAACTTTTTAAACTCACATGGTTTTTCGCACAAATTGTTATAATGCAAAAATTATGTAATGTGACAACAAAATATATTTTAAAAATGATTTATAACTTATAATTTTGATCATATCCCATTACTATAAACATAATTCACACACTCTTGGTTGATATATTATGTTTTCCAAATGGTTTTTCATAGTTTCTCGTCAAATGCAACCGTCTTTGTAACCGTTCATTTTGAAGCATACTTTTGCCTTGCTTTAATACAGAAACAGTGCAGTTCATGTAACTTCTGTATTTTCTGAACATTAATATAACACTAAGGCACAAGATGATAGAAGTATTTCTCATCTGTTCGACTGTTTTCCATGATAAAAAGATGGCATTTTTTCAGGTTAACTTCCTGAAATCTAGCATCATAAAGCATACCTTCCAACAAAAAATTTCAAAGTTTCAGACCATACATGTAAAAGAATTTTCTTTCGATATTCACAATTTACTTTATTGAAAGATAAACAATACTTTATTATCCTATCCTTTTACATGATTTACTTATGTAGTTTTGTCATTTTTCGGCTTTGAATTTCAACAAAACCAAGACAAGTATGGAAAAAATGCAAAGTACCTCGAAAAATAATCATCTTTAAGAAGTAATTTTGAACGTTTTAACCAAATTGTATCAAAGGAACTTCCATTTATTAATATGGAAAAACCTATAATAGAATCATACACATTTAACATCATAAAATTTATAAACAAATTTCCTTTTAGAACATTGACTTTTAAAACTTAAGATAATGATTTAAGAGAACGTGCACTTTCAACATGAAACAATTTAATAATATAAGGGTTATGTCCCTACTGACACCCTTGATTGAACCTGGATAACTAATATTATCTGTCACAGAATGTTGCGAAAAAAAGGGGAAAAATATTTTGAGGAATGAAAAGGGTTTAGATAACAAACAGTTGACAAAATCATTAATCAAGTAAGAAATTCGAATTGTGAAAAATGCAAAAAACGGATCCCTTTAAACCTTAGAAGTGGGATCCGATTAAACATATGCACAATACACCACCTAAGTACAACTCTTTAGAAACACAACATATTAGGCGTTGAAAAGAAAATTTCATTTGCAAACCTAGGCATAAGGTTTTGAACTGAGACACGATTTACATCTCTAATTCACAACCATTCCTTCTAAAATAAAATAAAAAGTAATACACGAACAGTAATTGTATATACATGTAACATTCTCAATGGAAAAGCCAGCTAAAGTGTCATTTAATTATAGAGAGATCAGGTATGTGAATCCACATTTAGGCTTTCAGCGGGGAAAAGCCTTGGATAGAGTCCAGGAATCTTCTTGAGTGTGGAATTTTGATTTTGATTGATTGATTGATTGATTGATTGATTGACTGTTGTTGTTTGTTTTACGTCTCTTTCGAGAATATTTCCGTCACATAAGAGATATCACCATATAAAGGTGAAGGGCCTTGATTATATCCAACCATAAGTTTACTAAAAGAGTTTTAATTATACAGCAAAACTCGGTTTTAGCGATGTCACTGGGACCTATGAAATTATTTCGCTATATCCGTAATTCGTTTTAACCGTATAAGAAATTCATTAAATTTATATAGCTGAGGATCAAAGATAACTTCGCTATATCCGTAAATTCGCAATATCCGTATTTGTACTAAACGAGTTTTGCTGTTATAATTATTATATATACTCTCTTTTGTTTGTTTTTTTTAAAGGTTGGTGTTTGCTTTGCTCCTTTATATTGTTTCAAAGGACTTTTAAGATTAATTATACTGTCCATTATCGTCATATTTCATGCTTCATGTAAAGATTTGTTAAACGGCGTTATCTTAACGAGAGCTTTCCCCTTTGTTCAAAACTTAAAATGTTTTTCCTTCTTTGTATATTTGTTGCCTATTGTATGACCATAACATCGGAAGTATATGGTTGATTTAATATTTAAACCATTTCAATGATTAATTTCAGTTTTTAAATCATTTCAATGGTTGATTTTAGTGTTTAAATCATTTCAATGGTTGATTTTAGTTTTTGAACCTATTATTCAGCAAATAAATTATTATATTAATACCGTTTTTAAATGATGGTCCACATTGAAAAATATTAAAACACATCCAGAAAACCATTATTCATCAAAACGCTGTGTTATAAAGAAAAATTACGAGCTTCGACATAAAGAAATCTTTTTACTACAACTATTTTACCAGTTCATTTATTCATTCAATTTATTCATTCTTCATGTCCTCTATTTAAAAATTTGATTTCCAACACATCTTTTACAACCTAAATACACCAATGATACTGTAAAACAGAAAATGTGATGTGTACAATTTGCTTATATACGCAGTATGAGAACAAAAAAGGAACAACCTCATGTTTGTGTTTCATGCACAAGTGGCTATACTAGAAACTATAAATGAAAAACATTTTCACATAAACTTCTTTATGTATTCTTATGCTTATATGCAAGCTCACCGCAGCTTGTTTTTGCTAATTTTGTATAAGTCAAATAAAACACTTTCATAGAGATGAATAATGTCATTTATTAAAATGACGGTATAAATGTGAACAATTTAACAAACAAGAAGGGGGATCAGATTCACAAGCTTTGATTAGCAGTTACGTAAAATATGATAATGTCTGATCCCCCAAAACTGACTAGAAAACAGTATATGTAAGACAAGACAATGAAAACTTCATATGAAAAAGTTAGCAAAAAGATGGCACATCAAAACAAAATAGGCCACAAGATGTGACATGCAAGTCACATCCATGTTAGATGTGACGTGCAGATCACATCCGTGCCATTGGCTAAGATTTGGTCATGGGTACGTACAGATTATTTTTAGCATATAGGTCACGGTCAAGGTCACAAGGTTAGACAGAGAGACAGACAGAAAAATAGACATACAGTCAAGACAAAAATAATATATGCTCCGATCTATCCATCCGGGCGCATAAAAGTCGTACTCATCTAAACTGTCAAAATCATTAATATTAACATTATTTTTATTCGTCTGATAATTCAAACATTAATTTTAGTAGATGTTATAGAACACAATGCTATGGCATTCTGAAACTGTTGTTAGTCTTAGAAAATGTATTAGTAAAAGTCTTATAGACCCAGGCACCTGTTTCGGGAATAAATTTTAACCCATAGTATAATAATAACACAAGATATCTACACACGGCGTACCCCCCTACCTTAGAATCGCGCTCATTTACACTTTCAGAGAAAAGGCAGTGGCAAACTGTTTATACCTAAGTCATTTACGATAATTTATCGACCACATATGGCTTGCTCGCCTTTGTTTTCTTCAATCTCCGTAAACAGCGTCAAAACTATACTCGACGAGTAGAAAAGTCGAACTAAACCATAAAACGGTATGTGCTAATCTCGGGCAATGAGAAAAATTAAAGAATGCGTTGGTTTAAAAATTTTATTTTAAATTTTAAATATAGCATTGAATAAATAACATTTCATAGTGTCTTATTTTCCATTAAAACACTACGATGTTTTTCCGATGTAATTTTAAAAACATATTTTTAGCCAATCAAATTCTTTGCCCGAGACTAGAACATACATGTACCATTCTATGGTTGAGTTTCACTTTCCACCCGGCGAGTAAAGTTTTGAAGCTGATTACGGAGATAAAAGAAAACAAAGACAAGGATGTCAGATATGGTTGTGCAGATAAATTATCGTAGAAGACATAGGTATAAACAGTTTACCCATCATTTCCTGTGAAAGAGTAAATGAGCGCGATTTTAAGGGAGGGGGGTACTCGGTGTAAATCGGAGTTAGATACCTTGTGTTATTATTATAGTATGGGTCAAAAATTTATTTATTATTTATCTTTTTCGTGCCAAAATTATGCCCAAAACTGGGGATTACACATGTAATTAGATATATGTACATATATATATATATATATATATATATATATATATATATATATATATATATATATATATATATATATATATATATATATATATATATATATATATATATATATATATATATATATATCAGATTATATATATATATATATATATATATATATATATATATATATATATATTTTTTGCATTAACAAAACAAATGCCAAGGTAAAAATACACTTCTTTTGAATAAAAATATGATTATTTGAAAAAAAATGTTGATTTTTTTACTGGGAGAAATTTATTGAATGCAACATCATTTTTTGTTTTTCTTGAATCTTCTAGTCTGTTGATGTTGGACTCAGTTGTTCACTGAAATAAGAAAATAAATTACTTGAGCACTGGCAAAAAACTGTACATAGTGACACAAAAGTTGAAGTTTTAAAACACTTGTATATATGTTTTTAAAAATGTAATTATATTGATAATTACATATACGAGGGTTGTCCCGTGAAATCGTGGACAAAGCGTGTTTCTCGAAAAGTAATGGGCGCACTAAGCTGAAAATTTCAGTAAATGTTTATTTATCATATTTAAGAGCATGATAATTTTTTGATAAAATATAGGCAAACATAAAGATTTTATTATGCTTGAATGTGCACGGGGTATTGTCCTACGGCGCATGGACAAAAAAACCAAGGTTTTATTAAAGAATACACAAGTTTGAATTCAAAATATAAGTTTTAAATACATAAGATTTGTATTAAAATTATCCTATTTCAATTCCACAATCAATTTTGTAGTTTTTATAAAAATTTTAAGGCATTTGGTTAATTTTTGGCAGTTTCTCGAGCATTCGAAATGGGAAAGTG